CCCCACCCATTCCGCAACCTTTATGGCGTCCATTAGATGGATCCTACCATTCTTTCAATTCTTCCACCCAAAGAAATGTAATTCCATTTTTCATGGGGCTAATTTCCTAGCAAACCTTTCCACCACTGGCTTCCAAAACCTATCACAACTAGGGTTCCCTCCCAAAGGCAATCTCTAATCCCACACCTTAGTACCTCAATCCTCAACAAACCTCTGCAAGTCCCTTGCATCCAAGTTGATTCCTACAATCCCATTTTTACCCCAATTAATCCTTAGCCTTGACAATCCAACAAAATTATTAATTAGTATCTTCAAATTTCTAGCCATTTCCAAATCAATTGTCTCACAAAACAAGATTATGTCAATTAGCAAATTGGAGATGAGAGACTACCGCTTGGTTTCTACCTAGCCTACAAACCCTAATCATACCTTGTAGATATGCTTTCACCACCAGTCTACTTAGTACCTCTGCCACTAAGGTGAGCAGGAAAGGAGATAGGGGATCTCCTTGTCTTGTTCCTTGCTTGGCCAGGAAGAAATCTTTGGCCACACCATTTGAATAGTGAGCTGAGCTAACACACCCTTTAATCCATAATATCCATCTTGCCCTAAACCCAAACCTCTCTAAGACTTCCAATAGCACTTTCTAGTTCACTAGATCAAAGGCTTTTTGTAGATCTACTTTGCAAACCAAACCTTGCTCTCTACTTTTCCTTTTTTCTACCTCTCACTCATTTGCTACCGAGATTTGATCAACAATCAATCTTCCTTCACAAAGGCGCCTTGGAAGGGAGAGATCGCCAAGGGAAGAACCTCCCTAAGCCTCTCGAGCAAAACCATTGAAATAATTTTGAAATAATTTTATAAAGAATCAAAACTAGACTTATTGGTCTATAGTCTTTTGTGGAGTTTTCACCTCCTTCCTTTCTGGCACCAAAGTAATATTGGCATTTACCCTTAGGGAATATCTCTCCTTTTTGGAAAAAACTCATTAAAGACTTCCATAATGTATGTTTTTAAGAACTCCCAACACTCTTGATAGAAAGCCATTAAAAAACCATTTGGCCCTGGGGCTTTGGATCTCACCATCAAGAAGATTTCTTTCTTGATCTCTTCCACCGAGAAGTTCCTTTCTAAAAATTGTGCTTATTCCTCTATCACTCTATCGCACTCCAAATTCGGCAACCTTGAAGTAACCTCAGCCAAAATAGAGCCTTAAAATGATTCACAAAAATCCTCATAATCTCTTGGCCCTCTCTCACTACCTGGCCCTCCATCTCCACACTATAAATGGTCTTTTTCTTTCTTCTACCATTTGCAATTGAGTGAAAAAACTTGGTATCACCATCCCCTTCCACTAGCTATTCAGACCTAGATTTTTTATTCCAACAGATCTCTTCCTTTCTTAGTATTTCCTCCAATTCATACTTTTGTTTCCATCTTTCCTCTATTTCCTCTTCTAACAGGATTCTCAGGGCCTCTTTTCTATCCAATTCTTCAATCCTCAAGGTCAACCTCTCCAGCTTTGAGAAGATCCAAAGGTTTTGAAAAGATAAAAAGAAAGAAGAGAATAATAGAAAGAAGATAAAACAGCCTCTCAACCCCTTGTTCATTTTTCTTTTTTCCTTAATTTCTATCTTAAATTATTATAAATATAAAATTATAGCATTCTTTTTACTTGCTAATTTGATATGAAATTGCTCTATTGAATACTTATTTTAACAACACTATTGTTGTAAATATTAAAATTATACTTTCATCTTTTAGATATGATTTGCCAAGCTCTAAGAGGAAATTAGATGTTCTTAATAGAGAGAATTGTTTTTTCTTCAATTAATATGTGTACTGATTGATATATAAAACTACCTGAAATTTTGTTTGGATAGAATTCTTATTGCCTAGGCAACACCTAGGCACCCCTCCCATCGCCTAAAATTGCCTAGATTCCTTGGCAACTATGATGTCAACACAACTAAATCTTGTTCCAACCCTCAAATCATTTCTCACTACTTCAACCCATGTCATTTTTTGCCTACCCCAACTCTTTTAGACCCTTCAAATCAAAAGAGATCACTTCTCAATAGTGCTGTATATGGTCTTCTCTACATGTAAATAAACCACCTTATTATACTTTCCCTTATTTTATCACCTATTGGAGCTACCTCTAAGTTCTTATGAATAAGTTCACTTTTGATCTTATCCTTTTTTAGTTTTTCCACTTATCCATCTCAAAATTCACACTTCTACTACATTCATCTTTGGACATGTTGTTTCTTGACTTCCCAACACTCTTACTCCATACAACATTGCTGTCCTCATGACCATTTTATATAATTTTCTTTTTAGCCCAAGTGGTATCCTCCTATCACATAGGACTCTAGATGCACCCCTCTATTTTCCCATCTTACTCTAGTTCTATGGCCAAGATCCTCCTCAATCTCATCCTTGTTATGGACTTTCGAATGAAGGTAAAGATGAGGTCACTTTGAGGTATCTCTGGGTCTCCAATCCTAATGTACTTCGATTTCCACTTGCATTTTTGTTAAACTTACATTGCATATATTCTAATTTAGTCCTACTTATTTTGAAACCCGTTGCCTTTAATACATTTGTTTTTTTTATTGGTAGCATTGAAGTTTTATCGTAACATGTATAAATTTTACAACCCCAAATGTTAGTTCGACATCTGCTACCTAACCCCAACTTTCTTTAAGACATTTGTCCATAAATCTAATTTTGCATTTAATCTCTCTCTAGTTTCATCAATTAATACTATGTCATCAATGAAGAATGTACACCATGAGATCATCTCCTAAATATATTTAATCAATTCATTCATGACTAGTGAAAATAAATAAGGATTGAGTTCTGAGCCTTGGGAAAGTCCCACAATAAGTAGAAATTATGATGTCTCTCCCACATGTTGCAGAAAATTGATTGAGAATAGCAGAAATCAGGTTTCAAGAAGAGAGAAGAAGAAGAAGGTGGCGGCAATAAGGGTTCAGAGAGAGATTTTGAACATAATCTCCTCTTACATCCCTAATCCTATTTCATTAACTTAATTTTAGTAATTTACAGAGAGGCCCATAGTTGGGCAGATAATTAAAAAACATAACATAAGAGAAAAGGCCCAAGTTGAGGCCCATTACAACAAAGAACATAAAGAAATAAAATAAGACAAATAGTCTATGGGCCATTCGGCCCATCTTCTCTACACACCCTCATACATGTCTTCATTCTTCAATTAGGTCCATATAAATATTTGGTGGTCCTATCTTTGCACTCTTCTTCTCCCTAAATTTTTTTATCAACTCTCTATATATAAAAAAAAAAAACAGCTTCCATAGTTGATTTCCCTAGCATAAAACCAAAATGGTTTTTTTGATATAGTTGTTTCTTGTAGCAATGTCTATCAATTACACTCTCCCAAAGTTTCATAGTTTGGCTTATTAAGTTCAACCCCACAATAACTATTGCAACCTTGTATATTGCCCTTCTTTTCAAATATAGGTAATATGGTACCCTTTCTCCACTCATCTAGCATTTTTCTTTGTTTTCACTATCTTATTAAATAGTTTAGTTAGTCATAATAGGCCCACTTCTAACATACCTTTCTAGACTTCTATCGGAATACCATCAAGTTCTAACGCATTTCCTTTCACCATATTTAAATTCTCCTTCACTTTGGAAACTCTAACTTTCTTAAGTACCTATTATTTTTATTTGTGTTAGAGTTACTAATCCCTTCCATGCTAGCACCCCCTATATATCATGGTCTGGTAGTTCTTCAAGCGACTGCAATTGTGATTATACGCACTTCTATACCTTTTCCAAACTATGGAAATGTTGTCTTGTTCACTCTTAGTTACTAAATGCAACCAGGAATTGGAGTTTCGCAATGTAAAACAAGATGTGCTAATATAGAATCGAATCACAGGATCTAAAACCAAAGAATATCCTACTAACCTATATTGAAGATTCATCTAAAATAGACTTTTCAAATACATAACGAATTTATCAATCATGGTGAAAATAGACAGTTGTAGCATTGGTTTAAATAAAGAAATCACAGTCACGACTTGAGATGATACCTGATTCTTCAGCATTTGAGCCTCATTCAGTTTATATGTGATCTCCTCATCAGTATGGGCATGAATGGCAGCAATCTCCTCATGTGCTTTAGCCATCTTAGAACCAACTTCAAGCATATCCTCAGTACGGGCATGCTTGAGCTGTTCTGCAACATTTTTCAAGTCCTCTGACGTTAGGTTTTTCATGCTTTCAGAAACCATTTTCATCAACGCAAGGATTGGACATCATCTAGCAAAGCAGTAAATATATAATAAAAATCAGACACTTACTCAGAAAGAGAAGAATGGTTGGAAGAAGAAAAAATGCAAACCTTAAGCTTAATACAATAGAACCACATTACATGTAAATATACAGTGTTAGTTATAGCCTATTTTCCAAGCTCGGGTGCTTAATAAAACAGAACAAATGATAACACAGGTCCGTCAAATTTCAGAAACCATAATAGTCGCTAAACAAGAATATAGAGCCACCCACCCAATTGTTGATGTCATTGGTTCACAGGTTGGCTCACGGATTTGTTGGGGCCTCACAACAATCACCCACAGCATAAAATCACAAGGTATTTGAAATAGCAACCATGAGAAATATAATAACAGCAAAAATGATGAAATCCAATTATTCAAGTAAAGACAAATAAAAACAAACACCACAAAGAACACAAAAATTTACATGGTTCGGCCTTACTGCATAACCAACGCAGAGCCTTGCCCACTCTCATACTTGGGCTTCCTCCTAACCTCATTGAATAGAAGAGATGCAATAACTTCTTCCAGGTTCACTGTATCTTTCCCGTAACAATGTTGTCACCAAGCTTTCATACAAATCAGGAAGTGAGGTAAGAAGCAAAAGGGCCTTGTCTTCTTCCTCCACCTTGAATATAGCTTTGTAGTTAAGCTTTCCCCAAATAAATCTTCTCCAACTTATCCCACAATTCCAGTGTAGAATCTTCCTCCATAGCATTATCAGCCAAGAGCAATTGAATCGTACTAACACGCATTGACTCGATGTCCTCCCAATCAGCATGCTTCATGTCTTATGGCTTTCCATCATTTCCCTTCAACGCTCTAGCCAAGCTTTGTTGAACCAAGACATCCTTTACCCTTCTTTGCCATAGGGTAAAACTGCCTTTGCCATCAAACCTCTCAATCTAAAACTGAGAACATGTACCTTTTGATGCCATAATCTCTCAAGCAATTTTATAAGCACCTTGGAAACACTAACCTGGGAGCTTAGATACCACTTTGTTGGGGCCTCACAACAACCACCCACAGTATAAAATCACAATGTATTTGAAATAGAAACCATGAGAAATCTAATAGCTGCAAAAATGATGAAATCCAAGCAAAGACAAATAAAAACAAGCACCACAAAGAACACAAAAATTTACGCAGTACGGCCTTACCGCCTATGTCCACAGGAGAGATAAAACATGCTATTCACTATAAGAGATAACTGAGAAGCATTACAAATATCTTGTGGCTTGCAACTCAAACCAACCCTTAACCCTTGTACACCCGTTCTCCCTTTCCTCTCAATCCGAAAAACAAAAACAAGAGGAAAAAACCCACTCTCACACTAAGAGCACTCTGTATTTTTCTCTCATACCTCTCCACAAAAGCCTTAACCCTATATACAAAAGAAAGCTTTTATATGTAAAACCTCTTTAACCTAAAGAGGGACCACATCAACCGTTAGATTAAAATTAATCCAACGGTTGTAAAATAAGACAATCCCAACAGGACTAACAACCATGTTCAATCAAAATCCCATCCATACCAACCAACATAAAACATGTCCACAATTATGAATCTACTATTTGGGTTATGAATGGGGTGTCTATATATTCAATTCAACCCATAAACTTAGATTAAAAAAAAAAATCTAGTAATGCAACTATTCCGGGATTCCGGTCTAACAACAACCCATAGATAATTATTGCCAAAGGAACATATTTCTTTCCCAAGGTGCCCGAAGTTATCAACTCAGGTCTATAAATAAACTAGTTACTGGGGTTTTCCATTCTAAAACATGCACAAACAAATTACATTTTAAGGGAAAAACCAGTTGAAATAGAAAGCATGTATCAGAACTCAATTTAAGTTTGAAGTTCAAAAAAATAATAATAAGTTCTAGTTCTGGACAAAAGAAAGAAAGATCACCAGCTGTTGGATATGCGCCAATTCACTTGGGGAGATTCTACTCAATTGTTCTTGAGCTATCCTGATCAACTCAGGGTCCCTCATAGCGTTATACACTTTTGGCTCCGAAACCAAACCAAAATTGAAAGACAGAGCTCGACAAAGCATTGGCTTTTCAGCACAAAAAAAAAAAAAAAAGAGAGAGAGCGAGGGAAGCTTTTCAGGGAATCAAATGCAGACCCAGTAGAGAAAATTGAAGAATTTAAAAAGGGTTCTTGACTTCTTGCTGATTTTTATCGAAATGGATCGAACAGGACATCCGACCCCCCGCCAAAACGGAAGGAAGAAAGGAGAACAGGAAACAATGGGAATATATATACGTAGCACACTGCTTCCTCGAATTCATTGCACTGCCGCTCAATTAACGACAAAATAAACAAGTGATGGGGGGTGCCCCCTCAACAAACAAACAAACATGCGTCCTTCTACGTAGAGACTGAATCTGGACCCACCATCGAATAGACTTCATCCAGGAAGTAAGAAAGATCAGACCATTTTCAACCGTCCAATTTATGATTTTTTTTTAATTCTAGTAGTAACTTATCTACAATTTAATGAGTTTGACTTTTTCATTCTTATTGGCTTCAGTTTGACTTCTTCGTCAAATATTATATTTTGTTGGGTAAATTTCTTAAATTATCCCTAGTTAGACAATTCTCCAAATTTTCTTCTGCCGATACTCGACCGTCGGGTATCACGTGATTTGATGATTTTGTCCATAATTCTCAAACTATCTATTTACGGTAAAAAATACTTTTTTTAGTTTTAATTCGTATTGGACCGATTGAACCGTTACTTGTCATTGGTACTGGACCGTTATTTTTGTCAACGTAAGCATCGTCGGTGCAGTGGGCGTTTTGTTAAAGCAGGGTGTCCGTCTCCACCTCCGCTTGCATCCTTCTCGTCGTCTCCCTCACCTGAGTCAAAACGGCATCCAAAATGGAAATCAAATGATGACCACCTCACCTCGTCCCTCGTCCCTGTTCGATTGCAAGCTTATTTTCAGGATCTTACTGAGTTCAGATTCAACCATTATTGATGGGTTATCCAGAACCTATGCCTCTACAGAGCAAGCAGCAGGGTTTCTGGTTTTGAAACAGACAAGAGAGAGATAAAATCAAAGTGTTTTTTTTTTCAATTTTCATTTTAAAGTTTTGAAACAGAGAAAGAATCAAAGAAGTACCTAGAAAGAAATATGATTATCTTTGGGATTATCTCTGATTTCATCAGCATGTTCTCCGATTGCAGAAGATGGATATGCCAATACCATAACCGAATAGCCTATTCATTTAAGAAAATCCAAACAGGAATGATAAATTAAAGACCGCTTCTTTTTTATCCAATTTAATTAAAATTTTCCAAATTGGGTCTGTCTCAAATTTACCAGGCTCCCTCAAATTTCAGAGATTCAGGCCGCCTGACTGGGATGAACCCAAGTACATCCTGATAGAATTTCAGAGATTCCTCCACTATTCTACGTACAATTGAAATGTGATTCAACGATGTAAGACGCAGAGGTCCTCCCACAACACCCAACATGCCCAAATACAACAAGATTGCAAACTCAACCTATACCAAACAATTGAAGAATCAAAAACCAAAAAACAGAAAGCCAACTGCAGGTGGGTTCAGACTTCAGAATCTTCAATTATACAGAGGATGAACGGAGAGGAAAACAAGCCCTGATGAAATGGGATTTGGCTCTCCGACGAAGACAGGTGGAAAAACCTCAAGCAAAGACAGGGCCCCTCCTGTGCATGGATGGAGCCTCGGCCGGAACCACCATAACGACCACCACCACCCCATTTGCACAAAGACAGGGCTCAAACTAAAATATGGAGCATGATCTGATGTGGGCGAAGAAATGGGAGCCTAATCTGATGGCGGATCGTCCAACCACCTTCGAACTGAAATCTAGTGCCCGATCTGATGTGGGCGAAGAAATAGGAACCTAATTTGATGACGGATCATCCAACGACTTTTGAACTGGAACCTGATCTGATGTGGGCGAAGAAACAGGAGCCTGATCTAATGGCGAATAGCAGAGATTGGGAGGTCTTTGGATAGTAATCCATCGATGTTGGTGAAATGTTCCCCCACCTCACCTCGCCGCTGCACCTCTGGTTCAGTCGGTGAGGAGCTTATAGTAATCCATCGATGTTGGTGAAATGTTCCCCCACCTCACCTCGCCGCTGCACCTCTGGTTCAGTCGGTGAGGAGCTTACAGTTGTCGCCGGTGATGAATACGACCCTTTCTATCCTCCAATGTAAACGCAAAAGTATTCCCAAGACCAAGAGATGGATAATATTTTTTCAGGAGAAACAACGAAAATAAATAAATTGATAAACAGATCTCACTCATTATCGAAACAAATGGAGGTGGCGTCGAGGATTGAACCGGGGGTTGCTCCGAGAAATCCAGACACACCTGCACGGGTTACAGGTGACAATGGAAGAAGACGCAAACAGTAAGGATAATTCAAGAGATTTACCCTATTTTGTTCAAGCTTTATTTTATGTGAGACATTTACCCTATTTTGTTCAAGCTTTATTTTATGTGAGACCCGACAGGTATATGGAAAGTTTTTGGGCAGAAAGATTTAAACCTCCCTATACCATCACGGAGATAATTAGGGGAGATTTAAGTCTTTCACCCAATGTTTTTATAGATAAAAAATATGGAATTTGGGATCCAAGAAATAAGTCAAACCAAATTACAAGATATTATAACCCAATTGTGCACATGCACCTTATTTGGATTAAATAATCAAAACTCTACTTTAAGCCCGGTATCCAGGTACGCCAGCCAAATCGAATTTACCATTTAACTTGACCTATTGACATCTCAATACGAGAGTAGTCACTCTCACTAGAATTTTAATTTGCATTGTGGTCTACTTGAGTTGGCTTTAATCAGTGGTGGCGCCAGGAAATTTCTTTTTTTTTTCTAAGTTAAACAAGAAAATGAGATAAAGAGGAGAAATATGGTTTGGGTCTATTACATATTTTTTTAAAGA